GTAGATGAGCTTGTTTCATCGGAACATATTTGGAGAAATTAACATCACATGTTCACCAATTGATCCTCTACAGGGAATGTATGCCGTCAGAATGAGAGTTCAAACTCATTTTGATCTGTATTGTAAAATATTCAAGGTGAAAACACTCATTAGATAACAGTTTTATTACATACGTGTTTTCTATGGTCCTTCATAGGAGGAAGTCATGTACTCTTAGGACACAAGCATCATGTGTGGGCGGATAAGAGTAGGAGAGTATGGCCTAAGGATGTTTAATGAGAACTAAAGTATGCGACATACACTCTACTGATGCTCCACTAAAGAAACATTCACATAACAGTTTGCTTGTGAATGCAAACTCATTTCAGAGGAATGCACATTGTATATCCCTAATTTTTGTTCAAAAGTATGGGAAACCATTTTACAGACATATTTCATTCAAAGTGACTTTCAGTACACTAATTGAATTAAAGCAGTGTGGGATTTGGCGCTATACTCCAGTACACATTAGTGATAGAGAGCATTTTGATCCCCTACCTGAGATTGAACCAGCACTGTTTATGTCAGCAGCTCAAAAATCTGAGCTTTTGGGGCAAAAACAGTGAGCGCGCACACACCCCCAGTCACGAAGGATGCTTTCAGTTTTGTAGGTCAGCTCATCTAAAGCCTGAAGGTACCGCAAACCAGTTGCTTCATGCTATGGCAACACGAAAAACAAAGTAGTTCAATTTACTTATATGTCGACTTACAGTAATTTGTGCATGGCACTCTGCCAGTTGCCTGCCTCTGTTGTTGTGTTTGGTTAGAATAATAATTGCAGTTGTTGGTCATGTGGTGTTTCCATCATTTCTCCTAGCTATACTGTGACTATTCAAGACTTTAAGAAACACCACTGAATGCATTCAGTGACATAGGAGATGCATGGAATGAATGTGTGTTCTTTTACACACAATCTTTATTGTATATAATGCAGAATGTTGTTTTTAATGTACTTTGACAGTGTATTAGCATATTTATCAATTGACTAGCCAGTAAACACAAGTTAAATCAAAGCTTCTACACAAATCCAGATAACAGAAAGGTTACTGTAATTTGGAAATGATAGAATTTGCATTGGTTTATGCATTTCAGCATTAAGCATATGCCTTTATACACAGCAATTGAAATGGCATTCAAGATAGAGGGTAAAATGAGGTAAGATGCAAGTAAAGATGTGACTAAATCCCATCTCAACACATTTATTGAATGTTTATGCATTTGTTAATCTTGACTTTTCATCTTGACATTTTTTGTCATTGAATAATAGTGATCTGTGAATGTATTTTTATGGGTGATATTAGAAGGATTTTATGTCAAAGATCACTAGAAAAGTTTTTATTATTAATAATTGTTATTCATAATTACTTGGTAAGATTAATTAAGTGTTAATAATAATATATATATATATATATATATATATCTCAGATGTATCTATTTGCCTGGGGTTCGGTTATCTGTCATTATTCGCCTAAATTGCCAAAATAATTTATATTTGAATTAGTATATTGCACATTACATTAAAAACAAATTATTATTAAAAAATAAATGATTAAAAATGACATCAGATTTTTCTGCAAAAATTCAGATGATAATTAGGGGCAATTTGCTAACTAAATTGATCTTAATAATATATGATATGATGCATCATTATACTGTACATGCTAAAAACATCTAAGTATGCTAAAATTTAGCAGTAAATGCAAACTGTTCTTAAAGGGAGACTCTTTTATCAGTGTATATGTATTCCCTGCCATTGAACCCATGATGTTGCTAGCGCTATGCACTACGACTCTGCCAGCTACTGGAAACCTAAAAGAAGAACGTATAAATTAGAGAAAAAAAAAGTAAAGATGAAAGAAGAGGGGATAAAGGGTTAAATAAAACGACAAAATTAGCCTCTTATCCTCTTCTTAATCGCCATTTCAATTTTCTCATGCTTCGGGCTCCCTGTGGTGTTTTTTATTCTTGTTCGATTGCCCTTTTTCCTTGCTACCAAAATTAGAGCGCTCTCTCTAGCTCATATCTTTAAGGTCAGGCCTCACAAGTGTAGACACTTTGCACAGGGGAACAATGTTCGGGGAGATAACGTACGTGCGTGTGTGAGTGTGTGTATTCTAGGCTTTTGGGCATGTTAGACATGAATCCAATTTGATGTGTAATTTTGCATTCTAATAATTTAATTAAGAACGGCCATGTCACATTATGTCTTACCGATGAAGGAGCGATAACAACATGAGGGGCGAGAGAAAAAAAATCATAAATAGGGTTAGGGAGAGAGAAGGGTTGAATAAAAGAGGGAGATATTGAGCAGAGAATCAAGAAAGTTAGAGGTGTGACTATTTCCTCAGGCAGTGGATCAGTTATTGGCTTACACACACGCATGTTGCCATCTCCTGGGGCTCAGCTGTGTGTGTGTGTGTGTTTGCGCACATGTGGACCTCTGACCAGAGCCTCGGGTTAAATCTGAGACAAGCTGAGATAATTAATAGTAGGAGAGTTATTGTGACAACTCCCTGTGCTGTTGTCCAGACATGTTATTAAAAAATACATTGTAGTTAACGCATATGACTGTTTCAAATGCACCATGCCGACTCATCTCCTACGGCTGATTTTTTCAAATGAATCAGGAGCATTTGTGCAGATGGTTTATTTAAGACCGTAAAGCATTGCTGTGACAAACCACGGCTTAACCACAATGTGGTGCAGGGCTTGTATCCTCAGACAGCTCTATTAAGGACAGAAAATGCAGCATCCGTGTTTGTTTTTATGCACCTCACTGGATCGCAGGAATAATTAGTGGATTTTAAGTCCCAGAGTTCCTGCGGTCAGAGTAAAAGTCAGCATGAAATGGAAATTGCAATCGTCTTTTTGGCCCTACTGGCACGTATATTTGAGTGTAATGGCTTCTCGAACTAGAAAAAAAGGTAGGGCGGGACTTGATTTTGTGCATCGGAATTTGAGTGGATTATAAAGTTAAGAAAGTTTAAATATTTAACTGAAAAAAAAAGACTAAGACAATTTTTTTGCAGAGTACTCTATTCTTCTTATTCTTATTATTATTTTAAATAATCATGTGCACAGATTATAATGGACACTGCAATATTCCATTAAAATAAGAATGGTCAATTTTGATTTCATGGACTACAGCCAAGGCCAAATAACACGCTGAACATAAGAAAAACAGAAGATATTTCCATTACACAAATTCTCACCGACACGCACACACACATGCATGGACTGGTGTCAAACATCCCTCAGGGAGCAGGACGTTAGAAATGTGTTTAACATGTGATATGATGCAGTGAAACTGCGGACATTTGGGGTAAGGGGATTTTGACGGACTCTGTGCACGTATATGTGCATGTCAAAACCCCCTTAGCTCTTGAAATTAGTGCATTATGGTGTCACTCCTCTTTAAATCTAAAATCAAACATGCTTTGCTAATTGGAGAAGGCCAAGGGAGCTGGTGGGGGAGGGGTTGTGCTCTGCTGGTGTCGTTTAAAGGAATAGTTCACCCAAAAATGTTCACCTGAAAATGTACTGACCCTCAGACCATCCAAGGTCTAGATGATTTTGTTTCATAATCGGAAAAGATTTGGAAAATTTTTTGCATTAAATCATTGAATGGGTGCCGTCAGAATAAGTATCCAAACAACTGAAAAAACATTACAATAATCCACAAATAATCCCCTCGACTCCAGTCCATCAGTTACTCTTGTGAAGTAAAAAGCTGTGTGTTTGTAATAAACATCATTAAGTTGATTTTAATCATTGCTTCTGGATGATCCACTGGTGAGCAAGTGATGTAATGCTACATTTCCCCAAATCTGTTCCGATGAAGAAACAAACTCATCCATATATTAGATGACCTGTAGGTAAGCTTTTAGCAATTTTTCATTTTAGGTAAACTATTCCTTTAAAAGGACGGTTTACCCCAAAATTAGCATTCTGTCATCATTTACTCACCCTCATGTCGTTCCAAATCTGTATGACTTATTTTTCTGTGAAATACAAAATAAGATATTTCAGTGTGTTATTTGTCCATACAATGAAAGTCACTAGGGACAAGAATTGTTTTGGATCACTCTGACTTTCATTGTTCAGACACAAACAGTTCTTCAAAATATCTTCTTTTGCGTTCTTCAGAAGAAAGATGTTTGGGTGAATTATCCCTTTAAGCCCTTTTTTGAATTTGTGTGCCAGAGAGTGTGTGATATGCTTTTCCAAGTTGTATTGGTGGGGTTGAGTGTGTTTGTGTGATAGGGAATTTGTCTCGGCCTGGTCTTTTCAAGAAGCCGGAATGGTGTGTGTTCTGCTAATCCACTCTATGGTGTCCTGCATAAATAATGCACTGAAGAGTTTTTGTGCATGTGTGTAGGAAGGTGTTTGGTGGGTGTGCTGGCATTGTTCGATGCTTTGAGTCTCACAAGGTCGTCTGCTCAACCATAACTTTCAGGCAGCACCATCGGGTGGAGAGTAAACCGCGGAGCCGTGGTATAGTGGTCTGTTTTGCTGCTGTGTGACAGGATGAACGGATGGCCCAGCCTGGGTCAGCATTGTGCGTTCTCTATCTGCACAGTCCTGGTGGCCTCACATACATAAAGCTTATCGAAGAGAGAGAATGAGGAAAAAGGAGGTAATAGAACAAGAATACATGAGAAAAACAGTGACAGATGTATTTAGCGAGAGACTTGCTGCACAAACAGCATTGAGATTTAAGTGCTTCAAATGTTCATTTTTACCCAAATAAACTCAGCCTTTGCTTTTACAGCCAACACGACAAACAGTGAAGTGCTATGGGATGCTAAGACAAGGACCCACAGTTTTGCTGCTTGGTAGATGATGCTACATTGGCCCCTGTTGAGGGAGAGAGAACAGCGGAGAGCCTGACTGTATCACGCTAATGGTTAAGATGGTGTCAATAAGAACGTTTACTCACCGTCTCACTGGTATTCTTGGAGCTTGTCAAACTGGGCTATCAAGACCAGGTCATTAGACTTGTGGTGTCTGGTCCACAGCAGCCCTCTCAGCATCTGGTCATCTGTTGTCTTCAGCCAGCAGCCGCCCTGCTCACTGTGACAGGGTAATTAATTATGAAAATGTGACCATTGAGAAAAACAATATGGAAATATTGTCAGATACTAATAACCAATGATTATTTCGTTTTTTCAGCTTTGAAGCTGAACAGAATTTTTTTTTAAATGTTCTGGTTCTTAAATCTGGTTGGTTGAGCAGCATTTCAAGAGTGCAGTCAAACATCATTGGGTCTTTTTACTTCTGTGACTCTCTCTGCAGTTTACATTGTTGTCAGTAGGTGGCGACAAGTGACAGTCTTTATTAATGAGGTGTTGATTTATTTATTCATCCAACTCTGATTCATTCAGGAAAAAAACTGTGATAATATTTTTGTTGCCAGAGCGAAAACAGACAAAACTATATTTTCTCCTACAAACGACAGATTGGAAGTCATTCATTTCCAATGGAGAGTAGTATGGGAGCCACATGGTGTTCCGATCGTATAAGTATGAGGAATGTTTGGATCCGATTTGAGCTTTGGATGCATTGAAATATTTTAACTTTAGTAGTAAGAGCATAGTAAAAACAGAGTAAGAACAGAGTGAGAATTACCAAAAAAATTTTCCCCCACTAAAACCTTACCTTTAAACAAATGCACATTTTATTTACATTGACTAGTGATAGAAAACCTACCATCCTTTTTCCCCCCCTCAAGGGATTGGCGGTCATTTGCTTTGTGTGGATATATTCATACATTCATTATTCACTGCATATTAATACATTCAGTGTTCACTTTTCGTAGGGTAATGGCTGCTTCACAACCATTTAAAAAAGTTCAGCGTGACTGCCACAAGGGGGTGAAATGCAACAGTCATATGCAAATTTCAGTCATATTGACAAGGGGGCAATTGTGTTTGGCAATATTGTGTCCAAAATTGTGTCAGTAAGTCTCCATGAAATTAAAATTTACTTTGTAAGTGCACATTACTAGTAATCAAGTTAATGCACAAGAGCAAATTAATCTACTGAAAAAAAGTGTTTGTCTTCGTATATCTTCCCCTTTGAAATGGCGTTCCTTCTCTGACTCTGATGATGTTTGACTGACCCCCTCCTTTCCAACCGACAGTCTGTTCCGAGCTTGATTTATCTAAAATCAAGCCTCACCCTTTTTTTAATCATTCAATATTCTGTTTCACTTGGAAAAATGTCAAAATACTGAATTAAAATCGGTTGCAATTTCCTGGTCACACTGACTTTACATTTTTGTTTACTGAACTGTTGTGTAACAGCAATATCACATGCGCAGTTGTGATTACCTGAGCCTGTGCTGATAAGCAGGAAGCCTAAGCTTCATATCAAAAAGAGAATTAAAAATAAAAGACAGTACCCTTGATGGTGTGGTATCGCTAATATCAAAGAGAATGCTTATTAATAAATAAAAGGGAGAACTCATGCAATGTGTGATATTGCTGATTACAAAAACAAACAAACATGTGGAACATGAATCCACTGTAAATGCAAAATGTAAATAATAACCTTTCCTACAGGTGTGTTATACAGTGGATTATGTTACATTTTTTTTTTTTAAATTTCATCAACAAAAGTTCATGATAAAACTGAAAGCAGTATTGGGTCTGTGAACACTTGCTATATTTTCCAAGAGAGTCCTAACACGTCTAAGGTCCAGGTCACTATGCACCACAACAAACATCTGAAAGTATAAATAGACTGAACACTATCACTGAGGGAGCTTGTCTGTGGATTACAAGGTCATTGCCACAGATTCAGTCTGGAATACAGAACCTCACATTGAGACTGAAAGCGACTTGTTTCTTCAGTGCTATATACCTTCATAAGAGAGAACACAACATCACATTAAGGCAATTGCTGGTGATAACTATATATACATCAGTAATCACTTTTGTGTGATGAGATGCACTTCATCTAGTCAAGTCAAGTAACCTTTATTTATATAGCGCTTTATACAATACATATTGTGTCAAAGCAGCTTTAAAGAATTAAACAGGAAAATACTGTCGATAATGCAGGAGGACAATAGTAAATACTAAATTTTTCAGCTAAAGTCAGTTCATTATTAATTCAATGATGTCATCGTCCAGCTTAGTTCAGTTGAAATAGTATCTGTGCAATCAAGTTGACAATATTGCCAGAAATTAAGTGTCCCTAACTACAAGCCAAAGGCGACAGTGACAAGGAACCAAAATTCCATTGGTGACAGAATTGGAGAAAAAAACTTTGGGAGAAACCAGGCTCAGTCGAGGGGCCAGTTCTCCTCTGGCCAGACGAAATCAGCATGTGTGGTTTAATTCCAGACTGCAACACAAGTCAGAATTGTGCAGAGGACTCGTCTGGTTCTCGTGGTCTTGTGCTGATGGCCATCTAGTTGATAAGGTCTTCGTAGGGGATCTGTCTCAGGGGCTCATCTAGTTGACATGGTCTCGGCTGACATAAAGGGCTGTAGAGGTCGTCGCTAGGTGTTGATCCACCATCTGGACAGGATACGGACTAGATCCGGGTGAATGGAGTGACTATCTTATCTGGATACATACTGCATCTGGGTGGCTACGGTGACCTCGGAATAAGAATGAAATAGACTAATATGAGTGTAGATGCCATTCTTCTTACGATGTAACAAGTGCATCAGGGGTTATGGGAAGTGTTCCCCATTCCGGTTGACTTAATTAATGCAGTCTAAAAATCCTTTAACTGATTTGAATTATAGAAATGTGATGAATTATAGAAGTGTGTTATGTGTAAGAAAGGTTAAAGAGATGGGTCTTTAATCTAAATTTAATCTGTGTCTAAAAAGTACGCTTTATACAATACATATTGTGTCAAAGCAGCTTTAAAGAATTAAACAGGAAAATACTGTCGATAATGCAGGAGGACAGTAGTAAACACTCAATTTTTCATTATTAATTCAGTGATGTCATCGTCCAGCTTAGTTCAGTTGAAATAGTATCTGTGCAATCAAGTTGACAATATTGCCAGAAATTAAGTGTCCCTAACTACAAGCCAAAGGCGACAGTGACAAGGAACCAAAATTCCATTGGTGACAGAATTGGAGAAAAAAACTTTGGGAGAAACCAGGCTCAGTCGAGGGGCCAGTTCTCCTCTGGCCAGACGAAATCAGCATGTGTGGTTTAATTCCAGACTGCAACACAAGTCAGAATTGTGCAGAGGACTCGTCTGGTTCTCGTGGTCTTGTGCTGATGGCCATCTAGTTGATAAGGTCTTCGTAGGGGATCTGTCTCAGGGGCTCATCTAGTTGACATGGTCTCGGCTGACATAAAGGGCTGTAGAGGTCGTCTCTAGGTGTTGATCCACCATCTGGACAGGATACGGACTAGATCCGGGTGAATGGAGTGACTATCTTATCTGGATACATACTGCATCTGGGTGGCTACGGTGACCTCGGAATAAGAATGAAATAGACTAATATGAGTGTAGATGCCATTCTTCTTACGATGTAACAAGTGCATCAGGGGTTATGGGAAGTGTTCCCCATTCCGGTTGACTTAATTAATGCAGTCTAAAAATCCTTTAACTGATTTGAATTATATAAATGTGATGAATTATAGAAGTGTGTTATGTGTAAGAAAGGTTAAAGAGATGGGTCTTTAATCTAAATTTAATCTGTGTCTAAAAAGTATGTCTGCCTCCCGAACAATGTTAGGTAGATTGTTCCAGAGTTTGGGCACTAAATAGAAAAAGGATCTGATTTTGATATTCTAGGTATTATCAAATGGCCAGCGTTTTGAGATTGCAGTGGATATGAAGGACTATAATGTGATAAGAGCCTGCTCAATTACTGAGGAGCTAAACTTTAAGTAAGTAGCAACATTTTAAAATGTATATGATGTTCAATAGGGAGAATTGAAGAAAAAAATATATAATAAAATGGGCTAATATGGTCATACTTCCTGTGTTACGTGACGAGAGAGCAGGCAGAGGCGAGGATCTAAATGCAGGGAGTATTTAATAAACAAACGGTTAAACATACAGAACACTGGAAGCTAGGGAACACAAAAGACGGATGAACACGAACATTGACCAATCACAAGTGGAACACAAGCACAATTTATACACAAGAGAACAAGCTTTACAAGATAACAAGGGGGCGTGGTAAATGGGAAACACCTGGGGAACCTAATCACGGGGAACCAATACACAAACGGACTACAAACAAGGCACAGGAAACACTTCAACATAAAAGTCCAGACAGGGCACAGAGAACATGTAACATACTGGTTCTAGTAAGAACTCTAACTGCTGCATTTCAGACCAGCTGGAGTGTGTTTATTAAGCATGCAGAGCAACCACCCAATAATGCATTACAATAATCTAACCTTGAGGTCATGAATGCATGAATTAACGTTTCTGCATTTGACATTGATAGCATAGGTCGTAATTTAGATATATTTTTAAGATGGGAAAAATGCTGTTTTACAAACGCTAGAAACGTGGCTTTCAAAGGAAAGATTGCTATCCAATAGCACACATAGGTTCCTAACTGATGACAAAGAATTGACAGAGCAGCCATCAAATGTTAGTGTTCCAGGTTATTAAATGTGGAGGTTTTTGGTCTGGAGGTTTTAAATCCTGACTGATCCTCACACCATTTTTCTCTAATAAGGAACATAGTTGTAAGGATACTGCTTTTTCTAGTATCTTTGACAGAAAAGGGAGACTTGAGATTGGTCTGTAATTAACTAATTCTTTTGGATCAAGTTGTGTTTTTTTAATGAGAGGCTTAATATCAGCCAGTTTAGTAGCTTAGATGGTATAGGTTCTAATGTTGTTGGTTTAGATGATTTAACAAGTTTATAAAATTCTTCCTTTCCTATAGCAGAGAATGAGTGGAATTGTGCCTCAGGGGATCTATAGCACTATCTGATGCAATACTGTAGCTGATGGCTGTATGATTATAATTTTATCTCTATTAGTATCGGTCTTGGAAGTAAAGAGCTTCATGAAGTCTAGCAGATCTAGCAGTTTTTAAGGTTTTTCTGTAGGAGAAAGTACTTTCCCTCCATGCAATACGAAACACTTCTAGTTTTGTTTTCTTCCAGCTGTGCTCTATTTTCCAGGCTGCTCTCTTTAGGGTGTGAGCATGCTCGTTATACCACAGTGTCGAACTG